CACCCATTCCGCCAAATCCTCACCATTCACTTCATCTAAGTTCATCAAACATGCAGCCAGGGGTTCCTCAATTGTCAATACCTCATCATCGGACTCTACAATTACATCCACGACATCAATAAGAGAGCAATTGGCGAACTCGCTTGGTCGCCTCATAGACTTCATTTCCTCATCATTGAGTCTCATTTTGAGCTCCCCAGTCTCACAGTCAATCAGAGCTCTCCCCGTGGCCAAGAATGGTCTTTCTAAGATTATAGGAATCTCTTCATCCACTTTGCAATCCAAGATCACAAAATCTGCAGGGAATACAAATTTCCCCACCTGAATAAGCATATCATCAAGGAGACCGAATGGATGCTTCACAGTCCTGTCGGCCAGCTGCAATAACATGGAGGTGGGTCTAGCTCTCCCAATGCCCAACCTCTTATTGATAGCCAGGGGCATAAGATTATGTTGGCCCCTAAATCACAGAGCGCCTTAGCAAAGGCGAAATTCCCAATAGTGCATGGAATTGTAAAGCTACCTAGATCAGATAGCTTTTCAGCAATAGGTCTCGTCACCACTGCACTACAGGTCTGAGCAAGTGTAATCGTAGCCAAGTCTTGAAAATCAAATTTCCGGGACATCAAGTCCTTCATCATTTTTGCGTACCCAGGCATCTCCTTTAAAGCTTCAATCAGTGGAATATTTACCTGGATTTGTTTGAGCATTTCAAAGAACTTTTTATACTGCTCCTCCTTTTGATGCTTGGCCAGCCTCTGTGGAGGCATCTCCTTTTGGTGCAGGAGGTCTCTTCTTCCCAATCACTTGGGACTTCTCTTTATCAGCTACTATTTCAACTACTGGCTCTTCAACTGGCTCAGCTACTTTCTCGGTCTCCTGCTGAATGTTCTTTTTTTCCTGAGTAGGCTGGACTGTCACCTCTGTCAGTATCGTAGACTCATCCAGCTCAATGGGAATTGGAATAAATATCTCAGCCTGTATATTTTCTCGAGCTCTCTCTTGTTCTACATCTAGATCCCTGCCATTACGGAGACTCACCGCCATCAGCTGCTTTGGGCCCTGATCTTTTGGATTAATCTGGGTGTCTGCGGGTAATGTCCCCTGAGGACGATTGTTCAGAGACATTGAAATTTGGCCCAATTGCACTTCAATATTTTTGATTGTTGCGTCATGTGCATCTACTCTTTCATTTATTTTTGCATTGGACCCAATAACCTGCTGCATCATTGCTTCAAGTCTAGTGAACCCATCTTCTTGCCTTCCACCATGCTGTTGCTGAGGTGGGGGATACCCTTGCTACTGATTGGTGTACCCTTGTGGCCTTGGATAAGGTGCCATATTGTTGGGAAGTCTCATACCTCCCATGCTTCCAGCGTTGTACTGTGGCTGAGGTGGTCTGTATAGATGCTGAGTTTGCTGACCCCAATTCTGATTGCCCTGTCTCTGGCCTCCATAGTTTGACACATAGTTCATGTCTTCGGGGTGCTGCTGATGATGATCATGTTCTGCATTCCAAGGATTACAAACTGGCTGACTAATGCAAGATGTGCACAAGCCCCCATTGGTAGTATCTATAATGTGCACTTGCTGTTTCTACCCTGATTCCTCCACCTTTTTGATGAGTATGCTCATCTATGTCAAGAGGGTCGCCACATTTTCATCCATGGAATTTGATGGGTCAAAAGGCACTGAGTGCACCACTGGAGTGATAGGTGCATTCCTCGTCGTCCACCCCAAATTCTGAGCCATTTTGTCAAGCAGACTCTGACCTTCTCTCCAAGTTTTGCTAAAAAATTCCCCACCAGCTGAGGCATCTACAATGTTCTTCATGCTATCTGACAGTCCCATGTAAAACCGTTGTCCCAACATCTGATCTGGAATACCATAGTGTGGACATATAACCAACATTCCTTTAAACCAGCTCCATGTCTCATGCAGTGTCTCCATTGATTTCTGTTTAAAGCTCACGATCTCATCAATTTGTTGAGCTGTTTTGTTGGGCGGGTGGAACTTGATGTGAAATTGCTTGACTAACTCATCCCAAGTTTCTATAGAGTTTATGGGGAATGAGTTTAGCCAGACCTGAGCAGCTCCTGTCACTGAGAATGGAAATAATAACAACCTGATTGCTTTCGGAGTTACGTTGGGTTGCCTTTGAGTTATGCAAATCGACAGGAAGTTCTTCAAGTGCTGCTGAGGATCTTCGGCTGGTGTCCCAGAAATAGTCCCTTGTTTCGCAGCAAGTGCAGCATGTTGTTCGTGATCTGGAACGATTCAGCTTGTATCGCGGGCACAACAATGGCAGTGGCCCGATTGTCAGCTATGGGTTGTGCCCAGTGTCACACCTCCTTTTTCGCCTGCGCCGCCCGCAAAGGGGCGCGGAAGGGAGTTTTTTCCAATTAAAGGACAATCGAAACAGGATTTATTTATTTATTTCAGAGTCGCCACTTGGGAAATTTATGGTGTCCCAAGTCACCGATTTTAGTCCCGAATCGAGGAAAAGAATGACTTTGTATTACAGTCCGTGCACCAGAAATCCGGATAAGGAATTCTGTTAACCAGGGAGAAGGTGTTAGGCATTCCCGAGTTCCGTGGTTCTAGCACGGTCGCTCAACTGTCATATTCGGCTTGATTATCTGATTTTATACAATTATGAACTTATGTGCAAACTTTAAACTCTTTACCGCTTTTATTATTATTATTATTTTAACAGAGAATTACAACATTGTGAAAAACGTATCTCGAACCACGTCACATCAATGTACCCGTGGTTATTGACACATTTCAACTCTGTTGAGATTTGGATTTGGGTCACATAAATGTGCACCCGAGTTTAAGAAAATAAATTGTTAAAGGCGCGCCTAAAGCGACTAGCATATCATTATTTTTGGGATAAGGTCGTGAAATTTGCTAAACGACCGATCCCGAAGTCTACACAATTATTAACCTTTTATTGAGGGCCCCGCAACTTATGCATTTTATTGGGTGAAGCTCATCTCATTTATTTTAACAGGATAATCCTAAAGTGCCTACATTTTTTCTATTAAATTTGTCTCTACAAAATGAAAGAGAAAAGGTCCTAAGTTATTTACACGCTTACGAGCTGTTATAGTTGGGTTCCGAATATGATTCGTAAAATCTGAAAATGATGCAAGCAGGGCAGTCCATTGCCAATGCGGACCCAGGCCCAACGTGTATGACACAAAACTGGACCTGGGTCATCTCATTCATATGTTACTACCTAGTTACATTATACTAGGCATGATCACAGTTTGTCAAATTAAAAAAAAAACTTGGCAATCTTATTTTAATCCTAAACCATTTACATGCTGAAATTAACCAATAGTATTTAGCTAAACAATATTCCTACAAGTTCCGAAATGATCTATTCGTTTATTGAACTAACTGTTGAATGTTTAAGAATAGTCTAAATCAGCTAACATGCTTTTTGAGACATGATAATCATCCAACAATAACGAATTAACTAGACAGAGTTACTACACCATTTTTTTAGGCAATATATAGATAGTTCATCCGCTAAGCTACCGTCAGATGTCCACTATATATATTAAACAGATACATGATTCTGATTAGAGTAAGCTAAATAATGTATATATACAAATAAAATTCAGAATATAATTAAGATAAATTCAGAACTTTAACTCTTCATTTCATATTCATGCTTCATGTTTCAGTTTACAGTAACTAGCGTGTCAGTTGTGTACCTGATATTGGAAGCAAAAGAAAAGGAAGATCAGTAGGAATTCAGTAGCATACAACAACAGCAACACCCAACAACAGATTTTAAAAATCGAGCAGAAATCCAGCAACAACCAGTGAAGTAGTAGCAAATAACCAACCAAACTCAAGGAACAAACCAAATGAAAATCCAGAAACACCAACAATAATCAACGGGCAGAAGCAAAGGGAATCTTTTCAGATTGAAAGACTAGTTAATGTTTAACCCTTAATTTCTGAATCCGTATATCTATTGTATTTAGATTGTATATCAGGTGTATACTACTCTCTCTTTAAATTTCCAAAATGTTTTTATTTCTGTTCCGAAAAATCCTCAAATCTCTCTTAATATTCAGAAAATCTCATATTCTCTCTCAATATTTCTGAAATTCTTTTTTCTATTTTTTGGAAGTCTTAATATTTTCGGAATTCCCTCTCTTTTCAATACCCAGCCCAAAAACTTCCCCTTTATTTGTGTCCAGCCCTCCTTATTTAAATTAAATCCCACTATCTTCCACTCATCCCCCTTTTTAATCCCACTACCTAATGTTTTGTCCCCCACTACATTAAACAAATATATTAATTCCCACTAACACATATCTTTTCTTTATTTAATTCCATTATTCTCCACTACCGCATGTTTTGTCATCCACTATATTAAACAATGTATTAATTCCCCACCATTATGTCTTGTCCCCCACTACGTATTATTTTACTATTATTTTAATATTATTGAATACTTAGTGGACAGAGCACTCCTATTAAATAATTGTTCAAATTTTCAATTCCAAGAATACCCCTCGGAACTTACTGAAATTACCAATTTACCCCTAAAAATACTGCAATTTACCATTCTAACCCTGTCAGCTATAACCAATTCACCTAATCAATTCTAACCAAAATACAGCAGCTATAACCAATTCCTAATTAAATTTTATGAACAAACTTAAACTAAATGATGAACAACAAGGAAACAACTGGAATTATTTTGACCGAACAATATTTTTTAACAACAAACCTATTTTCATATTCAACAACAATAACAAACAAGTATATTCAAATCACTGAGTTTAAATTCAAATTAAGCTTAAACGGAACAAATAAACAGATTCAAATCACTAAACTAAATAACCAATTGAACCTCAAACTAAATATAACAATATTACAGTCAAGACGAAGGATTCAAGTTATCAAACTAACGTACTTCTATATTAAAACTAAATCCTTTTAAATGAATAAAAATAAACTGAAGAAATAATTAATTGAACTTCAACTTAAATCTAACAACATTATAATTAAAAATAAATAAGAACAAATGAAACAAACTGAAGAAATAATCAAGAACGATAAACATGAACAAAAAACAAGAATCAAACATTTACTGATTTCAGATCCGAGAATATCAAAACAAAATACGGACAGAAATGAAACTTAAACCCACTAACCGGATCGGAACGACGATGAACTTGAACGAAAACAAATCTGCCCGGAAACAATTATCGCACCAAAATAACTCGACGCTGAAGATGACCACAAACGGACGATCGAAGAAGATGTTTGTTGGGTGTCGTTTGAAGACGAAGCAGTGGCTGTTTTGGTGGTCGTCCATGGCTTAACGTAGCAGAAGGCAGCAGCAACAATGGGAGGGCGGTTACTGCATCGCCGAGTTGGAGCTCGATGGAGGAGGGCAACTATGGAGGCGGTAAAGCAGCAACAGCTCCTCCTGCTGAACATGGAGCTCGACGAGGCAGCTGGGAGGTGAATCAGAAGCTCATCGAGGCAGCTGGGAGGTGAAGCAGAAGCATCCATAGGGGGTGAAAGTGCTCGACGTGAAGGTGAGCTGGTCGACGGGGAGTTGGGCATCAGTCGCAGCGATGGCTGTTTATGGTTGGTCGACGTT